GTCATATTGGTAGTAGTAAATTGCCTTACCAAAATGAGTCACTTCATACTATGCAGAATGGATATGACAGTATAGTAACTTGCAAAATTATTCTTTAAAGAAATATACCACCTGCATAGATTACTAAAAGATATTATCAGCAATAGAGGATCACTGTTTACATCGGAAATATGGAAAGAAATGACAGAGAAGCTAGCTAGGGAAACATGAATGAGTACAGCATTTCATCCTCAAATGGATGGACAGACCCCAAGGATAAATGGCATATTGAAACAATACCTTTACGTATACATCAACTATCAACAAGACGACTGGTATGAATGGCTACTAATAGCTGACTTTACATACAACAACGGAAAGCAAGAAATAATTAAGACAACATCCTGCTTCATGAATTACAGCCTACATCCAGAACATGAGACCATAGGTCATATGCTCAACGGAAAGATAATAGATAAGAAAGACATAAGTCAACTACACAATACATTACAAACTGAGATGGTCATGGCACAACTAAGACAGAAAGAAGAATACAATCTCTACCAGAAACTCGATCCAAACCTAATATCAGGAGATATGGTTTGGTTACTACTACACAATATCAAAACCACGCAACCAATAAAAATACTAGATTCCAAGAAAATAGGACCATTCAGAATCTTGGGAAAGATAGAAAGTTGTGCTTATAAACTCTGCCTACCACCCTCAATGAAGATACACAATACCTTCCATATTAGCCTCCTCAAACCCTATCAAGACAATCCTCTACCTTCACAAGAAGAACTACCACAACTGCCTGTTGAAAAAGACCATAAATCAGAATATGAACTCAAAGAAATAATCGACTCTGGACTACACTACGGTTGCTTGCAATACCAAGCAAAGTGGACTGGATACTCACTAGAATACAACAAGACCTGATATCTAGCAGCAAACTTCGACCACACGTAAAATGCAGTTAAGTAATTTTACCAAAGTTACCTAAGCAAGCAAACAACTAAGCATTGAAGACATACCCGAATTTGAATATGAGACTCCGAGGCTACTCAGAACAGACTCTTACTACTGAGAGCTTGTTAAGGTAAAGTTCTAACTACTCCTGATGAACTTGGCACTCCAATATACTCCGGAACGCCATGCATTCAAACATATCACTCTGACAAGCTCTAGGTATGGCACTCCAATACCAGTCAATGAAGAATCCAACAATAAGTATTGGGTAAACCTGGTGGATTTACCTACGTCAAGAATACCAATGACCGAAAGAGAACATGAAAACGTATCATCGACAGGATGCTACAACGATGAGTGCCAAGTGTATAAGATGAAGAAGCAGTGGTCTGGATATTGGCCTTGAGAATCAAACCAATGCCTGCCCAAAACATCAACCCTGGGATCACCCATCTGATCTCTAATGCCAGAGCCAGTGGCCCTAGTAGAATATGTTACGCCAACTCTGAGGACAGAGTCGAGGAGGAGGAGGGCCCACAAAATCAAATAGCCTAGAATAAAGAAAGCTAAGAAGGTATCTTGGCAAGAAGAGATGGAAGAAGCTATGCCGAGGTTGCCTCAGGTGGAGGACTAATAGGCAGTGATAGCAGAGTTGGAAAACGACCTCTGACTAACACAAGTGTTGTTAGAGGCAATGAAGAGAAGAACCCTGTTAAGGGTAAACCAACTCAAAAAAGAGTTGGCAAAAGGGAAGGGAGCAAGATACAAGTTGGAAAAGGAATTGTCAAGCCAGGCAGTATAGGCTCAGAGGCTCTCAGAGAGGACTACAAGAGCAGTCCGTAGGATTAATTGGAGCCACTACTATGGTAAAGGAGGTAGATGAAAGAATGATAAGATATGGTAGGATGAGTGAAGCCTGAAGGGACTCAGGCTGAGGGAGATGGCAGTCAATGTCACAAACTGTAACTAAGTAGGGCAGGTTTTACATAGTTTAGGATTCTGAGCTATAGGTATGTTGGGATTTCACATGACGTACACTCGTGCACCATAGGTTATTATGTTTACCTGTTCATAACTCACAGTTGTGAGTCATACAATGTTATGACTTGTGCATATAACTCAAGTTAAGAGTCATGGGTTTCGCTCAAGTAAGATTTGATATGACTCAGAATTATGAGTTACAAGGTTCATTTGACGTAAGGTATGAGTTATACCAGGTAAAGAGCGACTATATGAAAGGTCACTATGGCCCTGAGTATGAGCTCTTCACACCTTCTTCTAGTTTATTTCCTACACTTATATTTTACCAATATAACCCACCTTTATACTTTTTAAGATTTATATTAAGAAACTAAAGAATTGTCTTTCCTCTTACGTCGAACAACTAAGTCCCAGACAAGGACTTAATGAACATTAAAGTAATAGGTGTGAGAACATAGGAGTCAAAAGACTTGACTATCAATTAACACGTAGGCAACAGTCTGAGAACTATTATCTTATTACCAAGTAAGGATTGTTACCTGTCCCACCTTTCCTGTGCCTGGTAGGATTCTTAATACCCTGACTAACATGAGTATGCCCTTGTCCATAAGAGTTACTTAGCACCATTGCTAAGTCCCTAATAGGCCTAAGGTATCACAGTACTCTAGCAGTAATTCCCCATATGCATATCTGTTCCTGCGAGGTGTTTATCAATACACCTACCGGAGTGAAAACCTCTGCATATCAGAGTCTCATCAGTGGCTAACTGTTGGGCTACCTAGGCAAGCTAACTAAATGACTCTCTTCCCATGTCCCATGATCTATGGAAGCATCCGTAGACATCAGCTATCTTCCAATTAAGTTCTATCTATCTTGACTGGGAACTTAGAAGGCCTACAATTCTTCTGTGGAGAGTTGTGGTGGCTGCTGGACCCATGGGTGCTACCCATGGTCCCTTACCCCTAGCACACTACTCACCGTGATAAGTTTATGATATTAGAGTCCTCAAACAACCCACAAAGACCCTACTACAAAGGGGCACATGTAGGCCTGATTAGCGTAAAACCTTACCAGCTGTATCCTACATTCCTGAGGACTACTCTGAAGACCCTTCTGGATAGCTTACACTAACTCGGTCACTTTTTGTCTATTTTACTCTGTTCTTTTTGAAGAAGGTACCTGACCTTCTCACTTTAGCCTCCTTATATATCCTGCGAAGAGCTACTGGTCGGACCCACTGTAGCGACGTATATAGTATAATGGATATATCTTCATTGACTCCATTTAACTAGTAAGACAGCAGCTTCACCCATTTTCACCCAAAATACCTGGGGCGAACCCTGGGGCTGCAGGTACCTCAGGAACATTTCTATCAAATTACAACATGTTTGGAGCACTACAGCTCCTTCTATTATCTTCTGGTCAGTATGCAAGCAAGCGCCCATTAATCATTCTTGTATAACAAACAATTCTAATATTTCCCAGAATTCCTCTGAGAATATTTCTGAGCGAAGGTAGGGTAATAGTGTCCCAAAAGTAGGGTAAGTATGTCCATGGTAACATGAAACCAATCTCCATGGTAGAATAACATGACTCTCCTGGGTAGGATAAACTCACCCGGCCTTGCGACCTATCTTTAGGCCTAGATGGACATAGTTACATTACCTCTACCATTTATGTACACCTATTTCATAAGTACCTTCTGTTCTTCAGGATATCCAGAACATTATATATCCCTCTGACATGCCCCAACATGCCTGCTTAGTCTTCCATCTGGCCTATTGGTCCTATGTATGGGGGTAGGCTTAGGTTTGTTCAAATGTGTGGGTACGGCACTATCTTAATAACTTTGTACGAAAGTACGACACAGTAGTAAGAGTATACTGCGGGCACGCTAAGCGAGGAGGAATTTTGTAGGAAGGTAGATTGGTAGTAGTTCTTGTCCTTAATTCTCTTAAGCGAGATGGGTGGTAACCCCTATTTATACAGGTGCGCGTCCTTCGCGTAACTAAGAGGAAATGTAAGGGAAAA